GGGGGGCTGAGCGTGTAGAGTAGAGGGAGGCCAAACAAAATTAGCAGATGAGATGATGATGGTCTCTTGAACGGCTGAGCGCAAACAGCCGTGGTGCGCGCGCGCGCAACGCAGACTCCGCAGGGGAGGCAGAGCAAGGACTGGCGATTGATTTGTTTGCCGTCGGCGGCTGCGGCGGTATGCCTGAGAGAATTCGAGTTGGGCCGCGGCCCCGGGAAACAATGTAGGGGGTAGTACAAGAGAATAGAGTTGCGACGAGCGGGCCGGGAGGCAGGCGAGGGGCGGAGGGAGCCGCCAGGGTTACCAACCCCCCGAGGCCCCCTGCGGGACCGAGCGGGCACAACATGCTGCTGCTGCTGCCGCTGGATCTCAACCGCTTCGTCCACCTCGAATCAAATTGCATTCCGATTGTTTGGTTTTGTTTGACATTGGTCCCGGACGTCGTCGTCGCCGTCGCCGGCTGAGCGTGGCTGTAGCGGCAGCTGGCCCTGACCGCTGTCAACCCGAGCTCATTCAGGGCCCCAAAACTTTCCGAGACCCGCTCTCGCTCTCGCTCTCTCAAACACCCTAACCACCCCTACCAACCACCCATCACTTATCAAACAGCAGCAGCCGAGCGCCCGCAGCCGCGCAGGGGTGCGCCGCCGTCGGCCGTCGCTTTCTCGTCGAAGTTCAAGGTCTGCTATGAAAAATTCATCAGGACGGTCTGATGCCGCGCCCGCGCCAACCGCACCGGGTTGCATTGTACCCCTCGATTGTGCCGCCCTGAATGAGCCGACCCCCCGAGCAATCGGCACAATAAGGCTTATTAAATTTGCACGCTGACACCCCTCCTCCCTCCCCCAACCCCACCCATTCTGCAAACTCAACTCCGCTCCGCACCCGCACCGGCCAGTAGTGGGAAGCGCAGACTACTGCTGCACATCGTGTCGAACCCTCATTTTTGGTCGGGGGCTTTTTCTTCTGGTAGAGACGAACTCTTGGGGACTGTGACTGTATAAAGTTAATTTTCCTCTCACATTTACAGTGATACACTCTTAAGTGAGCGGGACAGAGACGAAACGTAACGCACTCTCACACGTACAGCAGCCACCCTGGTGACGGTGACGGCGGCGCGACCCCCGCCACTCAACGCCGCCGAACCCCACCTCTCCCGCCCATGGGATGCTCTCGCCGGGCTCTCAAATGAAATGACTATCAGGAAATGGACTTTCTACTTGATTGGAAACTACCGGAAATGGTCACTGGGATGGTCTGGCCGGGTGGAGGGGAGGGAGGGTGAGGGGGGTGAGGGCCGTGAGGGA